GACAGTTGGAGTCTCCAGTGACTGGATCATGGGAGGAAGGGCACTTGTTACAGGGCTGGGGGCAGGAATGGATATTGTAATGGAGACACATGAGTCCCTGCCTGGTGTGGCCACTGAGAATCCCAGGGAAAAAATGCTCTAGGTATCAGGGGTTAACCCAGGGAATGGGAATGGGCTGAGGGAATCCACAGGAAGAAGCAAAGGGAACCACCTTGTGATCTAAACATTGACATGACCACATGATACACTGGTGGCATAATGGCATAAATGCTGTGGGAGTAACCAACCACTTTCTCATTGGATTCAAGGCCACTCTCCAAGGTGGAACCTATCCCTAACTCTATTCCAGTGACCAAGAACCTGAAACTAGGTAAGTCATGGGCGAGAGGAAAAAATACATGTTTTACTGGCCTTTTGTTTGTATGATTTCTGACTTTGCTTTTACAAGTTTTGATTTATTTCTAATTTGGAGACAGGATTTCTCTATGTAGCCCTGGCTGTCCTGGAACTCTATAGACCAGGGTTGGCCTTGAATGTAGTCATGTGCCTCTGCCTCCTATGTTTAAAGGAGTGAACCATCACACCTGCTGTTTTTATGAGTTTTGTTTGTATATGTGCTATGTTTGTTTTTAATTTTTTAGTTCTGATTTGATTGTTTGCCTGTTTTTTTTTTTTTTCTTAGAGAGATCTTTTTATTCTGGCATGCTATATGACACAAATATTTCTGAGCTGGTAATTTATATCTGGACAGAATATAAATTCATGCTTTCTTATTTTTTCCTGAATTCATTTGGACACATTTTTGAAAAACCTAACTGGGAAAGCAAAGCATTTTTGCCAATGGAAATTTCCCTTAGGCAGGAAGGCATACTGAAGTTCCTGTATGCTCTTCCTTTAAGAGGTGCACTAGTCCTGAGGCTTGGGATACCCAGTCAACACTCATGTTTCCCAGCAACAATGGCTTCCAACGTGTGCTGCTACTGACAACATGGAATGTAGATCTGTGATGGTAACATGTAGAGCACTACTGCAAACTGGCTAAAAAAGCAAAGGAGACAAATACATTTCTGACTAAAGCTAATCATTAAAGCCTCGAGGGGCTGGAGAGGCAGCTCAGTGGTTAACAGCACAGGCTGTTCTTCCAGAGAACTGGGGTTTGATTCTCAGCACCCACATTGTAGCTCATGACTGAACGCAACTCCAGTTCCAGGGGATTTGATGCCCTCTTCTGGTCTCTGTGGGTTCCAGACACACACATGGTGTGGCCATACATGCAGGCAGAACACCCATACACATAGAATAAAATAGAAGTTAAAGAAAAAAATGTGTGGGGAATAAAGTAAGTCTTTATCATGCCAGACTTTCCATTTGTGTTAGTATATCTCTAGGTAAAAGGATAGTATAAAAAAGGGAGACAAGTTCTTAGCTTTGAAACCCTATCACTTTTCCTCAGAGTTGGACAAAGCAGTAAAACTAAGAAACACAAGGGCCATGGCCATGCTCTGCACAGCTTTGTGTATGTGAAGTATACATCTCACACTGCCAATGAATGTGCCGGCAATTTCATTTCCATATAGTGAATGATGGTCATTCTTAGTGGCCAACATGACTACATCTGGAATACCCAAATGACTGGCCATACCTGTGAGGAATAAAAATAAAATTATTTGAAGTGGGAAGACACATGTCTAATCCAGATCCTTTAATCCATATTTTTTGAGGTGGAAATATCCATCTTTAATCTGGACCACACCTTCTGTTGCAGCCCATACAAAGGGCAAGGAAGAAGGAAGTTGTCTGTTTGCCAGCTCTTGCTACCAAGTCCATTTCTTCACTGGCATTAGACCACTTCTTTGGGATTCTCAAGTATACTGAAGATCAGCTGAGACATTTAACCTCATGAACTGAACAACTATTGGGTTCTTTAATCTTCTGATCATAGTCAGCCATCATTGGATTAAGTAGGACCACAGCCAGTAAGCCATTTTATTATGCCACGCATACGCACGTGTGTGTGCGCGCACACACACACACACCCTATAAGATCTTCCACTCTAGAGAACTCTAACTTAATTTGTATGTCCAATCTGGATTCAACTATAGCCAGGGGATTTTTCAAGAGAAAGTATTCTTTTACTCTTATAGGGATTAAGTGAAGAAAACAAAAAGAATCCAGTAAAACATTTCAGTACAAAGTTTTTTTTTATTGACACTGTAAGAAACATTTTTATTTATTTATTTATTTTTGTTTATTTTTTTTCTTTGTTACAAAAGGACTAAGTGGTTCTGAAAGCCAAGGGAGAGTTCATGTGTCTGGGCTGCCATTCCTGTGGCCTATGAGCACTGAGCAGCCACAGGCTTTTTCAAGGAAGGCCCATGGCCATCACGTACCAACTCTACACCTACAATACTTGAATGTATTTACATGTGTTGTTCTTTAAAAAGGATTACACATCTTCTTCTTAAAAATCTAAAAAAAGGTGGAGAAAAGGAACATAGTTTATCTTACACATTTGCAGGATATACAAGGGTAACTTGTCAGAGGAGAACATCCTCCTATCAGCTTCAAACAACACAGGAAATCAGTCACACGACAGTTCAGACCGCTACAATCCTGGGCTCGCTTCTTGGTAACACTGTCTGGACATGCAGCCTTGGAGTGCTGACTGGACAACAACAACTGGTCCTTTTCATTGACAAGAGAAACATAAAATAAGGCACATACATTGCAAGAATCAAAACCCACGGCTCACAACAAGCCAACATGTGAGAAGCAGGGGAGTGAGTTACTTAATTCTTTAGAAAAAAGGCATGAAAAACAAAAACCATTTAACACAGACGCGAAACAAGAGTACCATGTATGGGCCTGTTCTTTCATTAAAAGGCAAAGGGGGCAACAGCATCAAAACTGTCTCTCCTAAACGCAACATCCAAAGAACAGAAAAAGGTGGCAGACTGAGTGGGTTGTGACAGAAAATGACATGCCTGCAGAGATCTCATGTCCCATGGAATAGTTTTAGCGACCAAATGATCCTTCTTGCACTGGACATCATGACAGATCATTGAAATCTTGGGACAGAATACTTTCCACCATCCATTTTTGTTTTTAACCTGTATCCTTCTGAAATTTTCATATTGAGAAGAGTCAGAGTTGAAACATTGGTTCCACAAAGCTAAAGGCAGGGGCTTGAAAATAAGGCCGAGAAAGAAGAAATGAATGCAGCAAAGCCAGAAGGTAAGGTGGCAGCAGTCTTGTTCTTTGCACTGCCTAAGCCCTGGGAGGGACAGTCAATGTGGGAAATCATGACACTTGAGACTTCAAGGCCACTTGAAAGGATCACACCTAGAAAGGGCTCTGCCGGAGAAGACAAGGGTGTGACCAGGAACCAGGCTCACTCTCCTTGCTGAGCAAAGAGGAGCATCCTGAATCCCCCCCCCCCTTTAAAATTAAAAGTAATAAAAGGGTTGGGCCAGATAATAAGGCAAGCCAGGTAAGACCCAGAGCAGAAAGTTTTGACAAGTGAAATTCATGGACTCCATCGGTGTTTCGGATTGCAAAAGTGACCTGCTAGAACAGAGAGGCCTTGCTTTCTACTCCCGAACCCAGGCCAGCAGTTCCCTCTTGCTCATGGTCTGCTGGGAGAGGGCTGCAGGATGTGGAAAACTTAAACTGCTCTACTGGTCCTGGGGATGTCTAACAGGAAGCAAACTAGCTACCTTAGCCACAAAGTCCTGAATGGCAAAGTGTCCTCCCTGCTGAAATCAGTGCTCCAGTGGGAGAAAATAGGCATGAGTGAAATTGGCTAGTTGTAACATTCTTGCTGTTAACTAACACTTACTTGGTTTTCATCTTTTTACTCCTAATTCTAATGGCAGGATTTAAGAGAATAAGCCACACAACTGTGCCAAGAATTACTTGGGGGGAAATCCAGTGCTGGGGGTTGATGGGTTAGCATTTATTTTAAAGTAATATGCTGAATAATCCATGTACTCTATGTACACATAGTATGGCTTTGTGTGTCAGCTGCAAGGAGTGGCTGCATTGTGTATCTTTAAGATCTTAATCCAAAGCAAAAGGACTAGTCCATGGCTACGAAATATCACCTTTCATGCTCTCCAGTGCTAAAAATGGTTAAAGCAATTATTTCCAATGTCAGTGTATGTGAACTTTGCCTTTTACAGTTAAGTTTTACACATCTCTTAAAATAGAGCACTTAAGAGTAGACATAGTCCCTTATGATAGTGAAATTAATAAATGGTAACGATACATCCAGTAGTGGGTTGCTTAAATACCTATTTAGAGCTACATATAATCAATTCTCAGTTATCTATGATAAGAGGAAAGAGGTGGGACCAATAATCAATTATAGCAAGTCCACAAACAGTTATCAAACTAATTCTACCCAATTGTTTCAATCTATAATTGGTCTAACTTCTTACAAAGAGCTAAAAGAGTGACTGTCTGAACATCCACCACCCGTCCATTCTCTCTTGGCAGTGCTAAATAACGCTGAATGTTTATAAAGGTCAAGGGGACACAAAGGACGTGACTGAGAACTGACCACATAGATGTATGCATGGGATACTTACAGAATTTAACCCTCTAAAAAAAATCTCTGAATGAAATACAAACTATTTAATTTGTAGGATCCCCAAATTTTCACTTTTGTGTAGCTGTTAAAAGTATGCCCTGAACTGAATCAAGGTGGGGAACACATAAAAACCTGCTATTTATACTAACTATAATGCATCCACAATTTTCAAACTCACCATTCTTCGATTCTTGTACTCAGTGTGAGAACACACACACACACACACAAACACACACACACACAAACACACACACACACACATCACTGAGTAAGCATTCAGGAAAAGTTTAAAAGGTGGACCTGTAACCCTTTGGTCACAGGTACATCAATTCCTAGTTCCTGGGATAGCAGAGAAGCAGGCCAAATCTTTTAATTTGAATACTTCCCTCCTAAAAGAAAGAACACGCACATCACACATTTACTCAAAAGAGGGCAGGCTTACAGGTTAACACAAGAGGGCGATTTGAATGTCACAATACTGATTCAGAACTGAAATGGAAGACAGTTTCTCCCCTAGAATACCTTAGGGTTTTTTCAGAGTCCTTTTCCATAAAAGGAATATACTTGAGACACATCCCAGTCAGGTGAGATGAGATTGCTAAAATACATACAGAACTTGGGGGGGGGGAGTCCAGAGTCAATTCAATCTTTCAAGTCCTAAAGTTTTACCTCTACTTGTGGTCCTCCTTGCCTACTGCATAACTGCAAGGAACTTGCTTTCTTCTGCAAGGGAGGTCAGCAAAGAACTCATATCTCCGATAGCCATGTTGGTGGTGCTCATGGACATGGGGGGGAATGGGAGGGATGCCCGTGGTGTGGTGAGGCGGGAGGAGCTATGGGAAAGGTTCTGAATGATACTTGGGCTCAAGGCCCCTGACATCAGGCTGGTATGGTCCCCATCATCTATGATGGCATCAAAATCAATCTGCACACCTTCTAGGTCATGACTCTCAAAGCTGTCAACTGTGCTTGTCACTTGGTTAGCACCTGGGGAAAGTAACTCAGAGTTTTCAGTGCCATCCCCTTGGAGCAGGCAGCTGGCATCCGAAAGGGAAAAGGAACCGGCTTTCCTGTCTTGTTGACTGAAGCCCACGGTTTGGTCATAGAACTGACCAGAGTAATTCTCCACATTAGAGCAGAGCTGCTGGGACTGCCCTTGTGCCTCCATCTTGATGCTGTTCACTCTGCTCGTCTGATTCACATCGCTGAGCTGTCCTTGTTGCAGAGTGAGGCTGCCCCGTGGCATCGCCTGGCGCCTGCTGGCTCCGTAGCTGGCACAGGGCTGGTAGCCCCTAACAACTGCCATGCTCGATGGCTGGTTGCTGTTATCCTGAGTCCCTGGCAGGCAGCTCTCTGTCCCTTGATAGATGTTGATGTGTGAGGTAGCACCGACCTGCCCTAGTATCTGTTGACCAGGGCGGCTGGTACCCTGGTTTTGCATGCTGCCGCTGAGTAGCTGATGAGCAATGTATCCCTGTCCCATTTGATCTTGGGTTTGTATGCCATTCACTGTGTTGCCAGCTAATTCATTTGGTGCTGTGGACAGCCCAAAATCTAGCAAACCCCCATTATCTTGCACAGTATTGCCTTTCAGCTTGGACCCTTGAATTCCAGCAACACAGGCATTGTCAAGAGCACTGGAAGTCAGTGGCTGCCTGTTGAGCTGGCTCCCATACTGCTGGGTCTTATAGGGTTGTTCATGGAAAGCACTTCCATTTGAGCCAGGTCCATCCCCACTGTGGATGACAAAGTGCTCTGGGCCACTGTAGGTACTGCCATTCTCCCCAAGGGTCTGATATCCTCCAGTGGAACCAGTCCCAACTTTCCATGGATTCTGTGGGTGTACCACCATATTGTTGTACAACCCGAAGGCTCGAGCCTGCTGTACGGCAGGGCGCTGACCACATTTCAGCTTGGAGGATGACAGGTCAGAACTTCCAGAACTGACTTCATTCCACTGGATGGGCAAATCGGTTTTGCGGCCTTCAGAGCAGGGCTGCTCCAGAGCTGGGTACTGCTGGCCAACATTACTGTCTGGCAGCCCTGGTAGGTCCAAGTCCTCTGGCCCATGGGCTACTTTGCTATCTTCAGAGATGGCATTCTGTAATTGTCCATACCCTGTTTGGTTCTGGGAATTTAAATACTGTACCACATCATCTGGCAGGAAATCTTCATCATTCAAGTTGGCATCAGCATCCATGGTCAGGGCCTCCAGGGCAACATTCTCTGTGATGCTGGGAGGACAAGGGGATGCTTGGAAGTATCGGGGCTGCTGGCTGCTCTCTGGCCGGGTGTAATTTTGTAGCACTAAGCTACGCTTTTCCACCGATGGAGGCAAACTTGGAGGATTGAAGCTGTTGAGGCTACTGAAGCGTTGAACCCTGGGAAGTGACATGTTCTCAGAGACTGTCCTCACAGGGTCGCTGGCTCTCCTCACACTGTTTGCTAGTGTATCATGAGGCAGCAGGTGACGCCGGCTGTATGTGTGACCTCCTCCATCACTGCACCTCCGAGGAGGATGAACAGGAGGCAGGGTCACCCCTGAGTCCCTGCCCTCCCCAAGCAAGGCCATTCTTGTCTTCAGGCTCATCCTTTCCATGTGGGGCAAGGGTGTAGGTGGTGGACCACCGGTGGCAGCAGCATACTTGGCCTTGAGGCGGTATTGTTGCACAGGTGTGAGGCTGAGTAGACTGGGCAGCCCATCACCCTGGCTGGCCTCACTGGACCTCCGTGAGGCATCTGTGGAGATAGGGTCATAGGAGTCAGCCACACTCACATTCTGGGTTCGCCCTTCAGCCTGGGATGCCTCACTGGACCTGCGGCTGGAAAAGCAGGGGGAGATGCCCGAGGATCTGCGGCTACTCAGGTAGGCAGAGCTGATGGTGCTGGTGCTGCTGTCCCTCCTGTTGAGTGTGTTCAGCACAGTGAAGTCTACACCAGACAGGTCACTTTTGCTCGGGAGAAGCGTCCCGGGCCCACCTGAACTATAGTTGTTATTGGACTGTGTGCCTGGAGGGAAGGCAGAGAGGGAGAAGGAGAGACAGAAAGTTAAGAATGCTGTAAGTCAGCTAACAACAAGCATTTCCCCCAAGCAGTCAATTAGCTTGTATTTTCTTGAACTGGGCAAACAGATAAAATTCTCTTGGTTTTATGTTTTGGAAAGTAGAATTGGGCACTAACTACAAAGCACCTATTGCTGAGGTTTCTCTTGCCCCACTGGACTTTAAAAAGTTACAGTTTTTCCATCAAAATCTGAGTCTTCACATTTTTAGTTCCAGCATTATTCTGTTATTATTTCCAAAATATGGACCACCCAGAAAAATCAATGTGAATGGTTCAATATCAACACAGGTTCTAACATAAGTTTAGGATCTGAGGAGAAACTAATAAATACAAAACCAAGAGCTCCAGGTCCTCTTGGCATGTTCTGGACTCACTTAAAGGAAAAGAAGTATCATGAGCAGGCAGACGTGAGGTCTAAGGTGGAACTTACCATTTCCTATAAGAGGAGGCACTGCAGGGGCTTTGGAGGGTAGAATAGGGTTCAGTCTTGGAAACATTCCATTCACTTGTTTTAGCCTTTCAAGTTTGATGTGCTCCATCCATTTGGTCCCTGCCGGATTTCTCCTGGCTTGCAAAGCAAGGGCTGTGGTTGCCGTGGAAATGGTTGAGTCCATGATTGGGGTTTCATCGATGGCACTGAGGTCTGCTACACTACCTCCATCAGTCAGAGGAAGCTCGAGCCCACTGTTGGAATAGTTGCTGATGGGGGACTGTTGGCTGCTGCATGAAGACTGACCACCAGGGCTTGGCTGAGATGTCTGTTGGGGTCAAGAAAAAAGAAACAACATGACATCAGGAAGGGTACAGAAAAGTAAGTCAAAATGACAGCTCATGCAAGTCAAGACCTTCATGTTATCAGCAGGTTAAATGAGAAGAAAAAAATATGTGCTGGTGGATGAAGTAGCCTTTGGGCAAAAATGATAATGGCCCACCAGGCTGATGCACAAGGATAGATGATAGATGGTAGAAGATGCTAGATGTGGTGTGATCAGAGTTATCAGCCTTGGGATCCTGTTCCAAATGTCAACTATGCAGACATATTTCCTTATTTTCAATTCTGTCTCCAGGATTTTATTTTTGGGCAAATTTCTTAACCATTCATCTCAGCAGTTCTTTATGTACCTAATAGGCTCAATTATCAATGGTTGCTATTGGAAATTAATGTAAACCCTCGAGAACACCTAAGTAAAGACCTGGTTAAGTTAAAGATTAGGTTAGGAGGACTTATTAATTATTGTTCCAACTGAGTTCATTTTGTTGAGTTATAATATACATATATAGGGGATTCTCCATAGGACATATTATCTCCCTCCAACAAAGGTCCCTCTAGGCTCTTCAGACCTGGTTCTCAAATCATCCTATCTTTTCTTCCCTGGCATATTTTGCTGGCATTACAGACCTTCAATAGGGTATGGGTCAAAACAGCTGTAATAGGTACAGCATCAATTACTTGTTTCTGTCACACTCAGAAGGGAAGAAAGGCTGCAATGGATTGTGGTCCCGAATTTGTATATTGATTTTACTGTTTCTTAGTGTAGTCTCCAAATCCTAACCAACTAGACACTGAAAGAAAATTTTGTAAACAATTGAAACTTAATCTTACTGACTAGTCTCAAAGAATGTACTACTTTGTCCACACCAGAGCTTCTGGGATAGAAGGTGAAAAGCCTAACTATCTCAGGGTCTGGGAAGCACCATGAGAATAGACCTGTCGCACACAGGATAGTTCTCACTCTGCACAACAATCTATGTAAAGTTGCAAGGGTACCAACTGATGAAGTCATATCTTTGTAAGAACATGAAAAGTGATGTTCAGAGAAGTTCAGTGACCACTGAAAATCACAATCTTTAGACTCCCAGGATGGCTAATCTTTGCTCATGCAGTACCTTCTCTAGGGTTCCTATAGAAACTGGAGCAACTAACAACAAGTAAAAGTCACCCAGTTATTCTCGGGTGGGATGTACAACACTGATAAGAAGGTATTCGTAAGGGTAACTCTCTCTCTCTGGGAATCCTTTCAACTTTATTACTTTCACAGCATATAAATCTAAGCAAATACATACTTTCTTAGCAACTGCCATAGGATACAGTGACTTCACCCTGGGAAACCAAGTAGAGCTAAAGAAGATATGTAAATCTGATCATGAGTAGATTCTTACTTAATTATTTTGTCTCAGCAAGTCTTGAGATACCAGCTCTTCCAAAGGTACTAAGAGTTTTTTATAGCTTTGGGTAAATTTCATTCTTTCACAGAATAATCAGGACATATATGTACATGGATCTTTGAACAGGACTATGCTAACACACTACCACAGAGCATGGGAAAAGGCATGTGCACTACTTATATGCATTCAGAAATTGAATGGAGGTTAAGTTGCTAACAAATTTATCTAGGTCTTCAAAGTAAACAGTACACGTCTGCCCTATACTTGAATTTATGATAGTCAGGACAGGAATTAAATAGAATTTGAGAACGACAGCTTGGTTGTCCCAGTGTGGTTTATTATGAAGACCTAGGAAAAAGTATCAATGAGTTTTATCACCTAAATTCCCATTTTTCACATGCTATGTATGTGCAAGGCACAGAGCTGAGTAATGTTCACCAAAGGCATCACAAAGCCATTAGAACCAAAGAAAGATAGAATGAGAAGAGAACTTGCATGTTAAAATGAAAACAAAAAAAGAATAGAGAAGCCAAAATCCCCTCACCTTATTACCCACTGTCCTTAGGAAGTGAGAACAAGACATTTGGGAGCAATAGACAGAAGATGTGTTGCATTAATAAGAAAAAAAGAAGAAAGAATTTAATTTATAGCATGATGACCAAATTAAAGACATGTTTCAAAAGAAATTATATTAGAAATGTAACATAATGCTCATTAATAAATGTCTACAAAGGCATCTGGTATTTAAATGTGTTCATGTACACACAGCATCTATTGTGGAAATGTGATCACATGATTAACCTCGAGGAACTTTGATTTTCTCACCTGTAAATATATGGTTCAGTTTTCATCTCTTCGAGTATGACCTTTATAATTTAATTTGTATACAAATATTCACATATCAAGTCATTTTGAGATAAACCGCTACAAATAATACTTAGCAATGAGAGGCATCACAGTTTTGGGTGTGTGTAGACCATCTTCACTGTCCCTAACCTGCACTGCAATACTTAATACTAGAGCTGTTAACACTGTCACCCACTAACCGTGCCTTTGCCCTTGTCTCCCTTTGCTCTGGCAAATCCCACAACTGGATTTGTCCTCTCTTCCCCCTTCCCAGGACCCACTTGCTCTCCCTGAACTAAGTGCTTAACTGTTTCCTCATGGCCTCTGCCCTCAGAGCCCACTGCCAATTCTCTTTTTCTAGAAGGCTTTTCACAGACTTGTGGTTGAGCCCCAACATCTGAATTGTATTTGTTTTTCCATCTGTGTATTCCTCTGAACTGTAAGCAAGCCCCTAAAGAATATGGACCTCAGCTTATTCACCTTGGGGTCACCAGGGCAGGGAAGAAAGAAAAAATATTTGCAGAAAGGCTCAAGGAATGTCTTCCTACAGAGTAGCCACTTTGAAGAGACTGGCAGCCATGCCTGTCTACCACAAGTGTCAAGGCCCTGCATCAGTTTTAAAATTCAGGTGAGAATCTTAGAAATTCCTTTTGAGCAAAGTTATTTTCTAAGCGGATTAACTTCAAATAAGTAGTCTCACTCACTGGGCTCATAACCCTCAAATCGGAGTGGCCAGATGCAATGAAGAGGGGGCCATGTTGTCCCCTGACATGCTTAGTTGGGTTTTTCTCAATGAGCCTGGTCAGCTCTGGGAGAGCAGGAGAGTGAATGACATACCATGGGCTTCTCAGCCTTGACTGTCTTCACCTGGAGGCATTCTTCCCGCTTTGAGGTAGTGTTGCTCAACTCCTTCTGTTCAGCAAAGGCTCCCTGAGTTGGCCTGCCGGGGGACCTGGACTGTGAGTGGCTGCCAGAGTCCCTTGGGGGCGGAGGCCGAGGGTGCATGTCCCCACGCTGCTTCTTGGTGACATGAGCCTCAGGACCATGCACAGTCTTCACATGTTTCCGGAGAGAGCTGGGGTCTGTGTAACGTTTGGTGCAGCCAGGGATTTTGCATACATATGGTTTCTATCAAAAGCCACAAAAATGAATTGTTGATGGATGATTATAAAAGTGATTATGACTTAACAGTTGTTTATTACAATTCTAATTCTTTCAAAAAGCTCTACAGCATTCAGATACCTTTCAGATCTAATGACTTAGAAGGGCTGAGTGGACATTTCTCAGTGTCCATAGACTCTAGCTTAATAGAGTATTACTTTATGGAGCCCCAAAAGTGGTAGAAGTGTGTAAATTGCCTTTACAGTGTTGGAAATGTTTACACTGGGAGTAGAAGTATCACAACTTTCCATCTATTGATGAGGATAACGGAGAGAGGCTTGCAAGTAGAGTTTCAAGACCTTTTTATACATCTTGTAGGAGACAGTTTGTGTGAAGGAATTTTTTTCATCTTGGTTCTGATCTATTAATTCTTTGATGGACACATATTATACACAGGTATTATAATAATAAGGAATAAAACCAAACTGCCTAGAGCTATTCTCATGTCGTTTAACTAAAATGTGCTCCTTTGTGTTGCATTACAACTGTTTGGTGTTCAAGACTTAAAATCCCCAGAGGTCTCTGGTCTTTAAAGTTATTGCTTCTTTCCGCACATTTCTCAGGGCTGGTGAATGGTTTACAGAAAACCAGGACTCCCAGTCCGCTTTCTTCTAACTTTACAGGTCTACACATGAGAACTCCTCCCCCTTTTTAACCAATGCCAGAATAATGATTTTGTGTCCTTGACTTCCAAAATAATACAGTTATGGGATGTCTATATGACTAAAGTCAGCTGCACCTGCCCAAGGGCTCTATGTACACAAAACAACTGACTTCAGAACAAAAACACTAAATTCACACCTGTAGTGTGAAAACCTCATACTTGTAGTGACCATGAACAGATAACTTTTCCTGTTGCTAGTCTCTTAAAAAAAAAAAAAAAAAAAAAAAAAAAGAACAATTATTTGTACATCACTTACAATGTATTGGGCATTAGAAATAATCTAAATCAGAAGAAGCTATACACAGGTTATACTGCAGCATTTTACTGAGGAGACTGTACATTCTTTGATTCTCATGTGTGTAGGGGTCTTAAGCATAATTTCTTGCTGAATGCCATAAAGGTAACATGTATTTCCATCTCTGTGTACCACAATGTAGACTAGTATATAAGAAATCACCATAAAAAGCATGATTAAAGTAATGTATTTCTAATCTTTGCTAAAGACCCTGTCTTGTAGAATGCATGTCTAAAAGATGCTTTTTTTTTTTCCATTAAAAGCCCAAGACCAGACTGAGTGCAACCTAAACTGCTGAAATTTTGTAATGTAGAGACGAGATTTTGAACATTATCCTGAGAGACTTCACCTTCAAATGTACGATTCTGTTGGACAGAATTGATTCCCATTAACTATAAATTATGTCTACTCAGGGGCTCTGCGATTTGTCAGATACACATGATGAAATGAAAGTACAGGATTCCATGCATTAGGGACAGAAGAATGGCTCTGATAGTTGGTGCCATTACCTTTAGGTGTTTGTACATCAACCTCGTGCTTGCTCAGGGTACCAATGGGATAGGCTGTTACATCGGCAAAGTGCATGAGGCAGACACATGGGCATGGGGGAAGAGGCACAGGGAGGGGGCACTGGACACACCTGAAGAGTCACACTTCCTATACACACATGCATGTGAATACTAAGATTAGCCTGGAAATGAGGACACAGCTGATGTGCAATGGCCTCAGAGAAGTTCATCAGAACTAGCATTTTCAAGACCAATGGCACACATCAGTATACCTGTAACCAGGTTTCCGTACATGTGAACATGCACAGTAGTGACCTACAAAAATCCACAAGAACACAGATTCTGGAAGTGTATGCTAAAAAAAAAAAAACATAAATACAACTGTGTAGTTTGACATTAAGATTATGTGAGAGTAATAAAAAGTAATAACAGGCCATGACAAATGGCAGACTTGCTGAGTGGTCTGCATTTCATGTCCTGGGTCTTTAACTTCTGACATGATTGTTACCATTTTGACTTGTATACTCAGATACTGTTGGAAATCTGTCAAGGCATTTTCTCCTGACTATTATATGTATGTATGTATGTATGTATGTATGTATGTATGTACACACGCACGCGTATACACACACCTTCTTTCTCTAATGCTCATACCACCTGTGAATTTATAGTTCTTCTACCTCAGCCTCCCAGGTTCTGGGATTATAGGATTGGTATTCTAGGGTTGAGCTACTTCCCAGATAATTTTGTTTTTCACCAAACATCAAATGTATCCTATTATATACAAGATTCCTTGCACACAAAGATGTATAACCTTGATGAATATAAAAATCCTTTATGTAATCCTTTATATTTTGTTTATGGAGTCTTATTTTCTGGTAGAAAAAAAAATCATACCATGCAATTTTTTTTACAATATAAAATGTGAATCCTAAAGACACAGACAAATGAAGACTTTTGTTTTGGTTGCAATAATTAGATGTCAGTTATTAAAATCTGGGTTTAATTCCCAGCTCATGGGTACATAAGGTGCTTGCAACTGTGGGTAACCCGCAGTAAAAACCTGCTCAATAAATAAGACATACCTAAAGCAAGCAGACATGTACACGTTTTAACTTCATAAAAGATGGAAAGCTACATTAGTAGATATTTGTGCATCTCTGTCTGAATATACTCACTGACCAGATTTCTCTGTAGCAGGAGAGGTTGGCCTACATGAATGCCTTGTTTTACTTTTGTATATGAGATATAGCTAATTTAATTACTATGTTAATTAAGTTCTAAGCGAAGTTTTCCAAACTCTATAAACTGAAATAAATTGGGGTTGACAATCCCCCCCCAAAAACAAACAACTTGTAAGACTAAGTTTCACTTAAGACATTTTTCATGTTCTACAATAATGCTAGAACATTTTAGCATTCCAAAATCTGCAGTCTCCTATTGCCTCAGCCTTTAGCTGCTGGCAAATACTAATCTATCTTGTCTCCATGGATTTGCCCATTCTAGAATCCCTAAAATGTTCAAAACAAGATCATCAAATGACATGGTAGCTATTAAACAGAAAATTTAAAAAATGTCCACCAAGGCATTCCTTTTTTTAAAATGAACCTTATATTATTATGAATTTATGTCCCTGCACCATTTTCATGTAGTGACTACAGAGGTCAGAAGAAGTGTCAGATTCCCTGGAACTGGAGTTACAGACAGTTACAAAAACAGCCATGTGGGTGCTGGAGCTCAAACCTTGGTCCTCTGTAAGCACACTCAGTTTGCTTAATCACTGAACCCTTTCTCCAGCACCATGGAAAAAAGAAAATGTGTCACTGCCCCCAATGTCTCTCAGGTCGTTAATAGATTCACACCATGAGCTTTGGAAAGAGCTGGTGTTCGTGAACACACACATGTGAGCCTTGAGTGTGACCAGATCTGAATGCACATTTCAACTGTGTAGATGATCTCAAGAAAGGCTGTTTTACTCTCTCACCAGGACTATCTTCTTCTGGTTAAAGCCAAGTGGCTCCTAAGCAATGTGACTCACTTGGTTTAGAGACCACAAAGTTGTAGGTGAGACTGGTCTCTATCTGATGAGGTGGTAACAGCCACTCAGAGTCAAGCACATGTAAACTCCTTTTCCAACATTTCAAGTCAACTGAAGACACACTTTGCAGGCCTGAACTATGTGTTGTTAGCTATCTCATTTCTATCCCAAATGAGAGGAGCTTTGTTATTCTTATTTATTAAAGGGATAGTTTACAGGAGCCAGTATTTCAGCTACACCTCCAAGTAGAAGTTATACATTTGCAGGCAGATATGTATTGAAGCCTAGCTAAAACAAATCTGGAACTATTTTCATTTTACACTTATCTGGGGGCAATAACCTAAAAATAATAGCAATGCAACAAAAACCAGGTACTAGGATGAGACTTCACTCACTGCTTTCTAAATAACCGACTTAAGTGTTATCTGGCATTCTAAGACTAAATCTTCCATGATCCTCTGGAATCTAGACTGTCTATAAACTTTATTTAAGCTGTTTGCTCCACGGAAATAATTTAATGATGTATGTGATGATACCTCTGCCTCCAAGGAAGCAAATTAGGAGTGTATGCTTTCAGCAGTGAGCTGTCACCTGCCAGTGGGATAGCTCTAGGTCTCTAGTTAGTACAGGGCCCTACATTGTGTGGATTCAGGCTGTTTTGGCAGAGCAGGCAGGCTGAATTCCAAGTTAAATCTGTCTGGCCAGTAGGTGGCAGTTCCAAGCAACAGGAAATCAAGATCAGAAAGGGTTTTATAAAATCCCCCTTCATCTGCATTATTATCCAAAAGGGTCTATCCTTGAGGCCCCAAACCTTCACTTGCAGGGTTACAGACCACTCATAGTGAGAACAGCCCAGGGGAAGTAAAACAGAACACACCTACTTTACCACGTATATTCCACAAGAAGGCTCATTGTTTCTGCCTGTAGCTTTGGATCCATGGAGGAGGCTTACCTCATTGGAATGTGTTCTGTTTTGGTGCTTGGCCCGATCTGAAGCATTGGAGAAAGCCTTGTTGCAGCCCTCATGCTCACAGACGTATGGCTTCTCTCCAGTGTGAGATCTCAAGTGCGTTTTCAGGTTTTCTAGTCTTGAGTAGGCTTTTGTGCAACCTTCAAACTGAGGACAACAGGTAAATCTGGACCACTCTACACAATAGCAGCTGCAGCTTGTGCTTAACCCCCTCTCCAAGTGGATAAAAACTTGACCTTTCAAGGGTCAGCAGCTTTTCAAAACCGTGGAACAAAAACCCCACTAAACTCTGCATTTATTGGGATTCAGATGTGGCTTGGGGCCGTTGAAGACAAAGCTTTGTCAGTGCCTGTAAAACTCCTGAAGGCTTTTTCCCCCCTTTCCTATTTTTTTTAATAGACAGCTCAATGTGGACAATGAATTTCATTATCTGTTCATTGATCTCCTCCAATTCCCACTGATTTCAGATGCAGCACAAAGTTCATTAATATGGCTTTGTGTCTATACAAAGCCATGGAATTTGATCATGTTTGTAAAGGTCCTTTAAGATGTAAAGTACCAGGCCTGTGCAGCGCTCAGAGCACCTCCTGAGAGAAAGTGCAGGCTCATTGCAGCCACAGCCCACTCCAGAGGCCTACACTCCACCATGGAGACCGAGCAGAGGGAAGAGAAGTGACAGCTAAGAGTAGCTGCATATGTCTAACCCAAAAGGCTTGGGACAAGAAGACACTTGAGATTTCTTAAATTTCAGAAGACATTTTGAGGCACAGTGGAGACAGACAATAAGCTCATTTATGTTTTATATATATATTATGCACAGAGAATAATAATAATGTCATAAAGCAGTTCGGGTGCACCTGTGTGGTGATGGAAAGAGGCTGCAAATGGTATAAATGGGGTTTTAACATCTAGAGCCTTGTAAATAGTAGTTGAGTGCTCTTCCATGAGCTACATCCCAAACTCAACATTTTGGACTCTGTTTTTGATACAGCGCCTGTAAGATAGGTCAAAGTGTAACCCTGACTACCTGAGTTTCACACCTGTAACCCATACAAAAGTGCAAGGAGAGAATCAACTCCACAAAGTTGTCCTTTGACTACTACACACACAAACAACAAAACTAAAGTGAAACACACATCAACTTTGTCTTTGTCCTGCAGTGTGCTGAACTGTGGGGATATGGCAAACACAGAAGCCAGGAGTACACTCAGCCAGCCACCTTAAGCCTGCTTGCCACTATGCATAGATGTTCCGTCTAAAACTCAACTTTAAGGCACTTTGCCCAGACAGGGCGCCATCTCTCTTCTCCCTATTGCCCAACTACCCTTTCAGGACCTGGAGTCATTAGCATGCAAAACCCTTGAGGACACTAGGAAAGATCTATAGAGTGAAGTGTCATAATGGCCTGTGTGAGGGGACACTGAGGCTGCCCAGGTATGTACTCACGGTGCATTTGTGAGGCTTCTCGCCAGTATGTCTTCTCATGTGCACTACCAACATGTACTGGGCTTTGAAGGGTTTCTGTTCTCTTGAACAATCAAGCCAGCGGCACACAAACTCCTTCTTTTCTCCATGAATGTGATCATTATTGATATGCTGTGGGTTGAGGAAAAGAGAAATAACATAAAAATGTATTAGACATTTCTCAAAGCAACAAAAGGAAGTGAAAAAAAATTGAAATTTTAAGCCTTGAAGACAAATGAATAAATTGGATCCATCACAGTTAAGAGGCCTTTAATCCCAGCACTCAGGAGGTAGAGGCTGGGGGATCTCTGTGAGTTCGAGGCCAGCCTGGTGTACAGAGGAAGTGCCAGGACGGGCTCCAAAGCTACACAGAGAAACCCTGTCGCATAAAACAAATAAACAAAATCTAATACATACATTTCTAAGAGACTTGCTATGCGCTAACTGTATAGCCAGCATGGGAGACACTATCAGGTGTAGGCTTGGCATCCAGAAAAATTACTTGAGACTGAAATCTGAAGAGTACGGGTTAAGCCTGTGTTATACAAAGAGTGTGTGTAAAACAGGATGAGCTGCTTGCTCTGTGTTCTCTATACTCCATTGGTCTTTAGTATGGGACTGGAGGTGTTCTCTCACTCTTCTGTGTGTGTGGAGGGGGCAGGGTAAGGGCCTAGTGCACAGGAACACAGATGCATCCAAGACTCCATAACAAGGCTTTAAGAAAATGCAGCTTTGGTTCAGACTGAGAACAGTCTCTTCTTGGATAATAACCACAGAGAATTAGATGCTAAGGAAGATACTCTGTGATGATCATCCAATGTTTCGATGTTTCTCAGCCATTGTTTCCGTCCAGCTTTAGAATTCTATTAATAGGATTCCCCCCCCCCCCAGATGTTATTTTAATGATGTTTCACTTGCTCATATGATGTTTCACTTGCTCATATGTGTGTGCCTGATATCTGTGAAGATCAGAGAAGGGGGTCAGGTCCCCAGGAGCTATGGATAATTGTGAGGTACCATGGTTGCTGGGAACCCAAGAATCCAGTTCCTCTGCAAGACAGCAAATGCTCTTGACCACAAGTGCTTCTTAACCACAAGTGCTGCTCAACCTTCCTAACGCTGTGACTTTAATACAGTTCCTTGTGTTGTGACCTCTGACCATAAAACTGTTTTTGTTGCTACTTAATAGCTGTAGTTTTGCTACTGTCATGAATCATAATATAAATCTTATATTTATAAATATTTTCCTATAGTCTTAGCTGAGCCCTGTAAAAGGGTCATTTGACCTTAAAGGGTTGCAACCCACAGGTTGAGAATCACCCACCTTATAAGGTGTATTCTAAGAGATTCATATAAAGTCCCTCAGAGAAGGGGGAAGGGACAAGTCCCCTAGAGCATAGGGGAAGTGGGAGGGGCAGTGAATGGAGAGAGAAGTAGGAGAAAGAGAGGGGGAGGAGAGGAAAACACGTGCGACTAGGAAGATTGAGTCAGGGTAGGAATAGAAGATGGGGGGGGGTAGGCAGGGAGGGAGAACATAAAAGAGGGAGCCAATATTGGTTTGAATAGAAAGTTGTAGGTCTAGAGACCTACAAGACTGCCGCCAACTAACAATTTGAGCATCCGTGGAAAGGCTACCATAAATGCCCTTCCCGGATAGTGAGATCAACAACTAACTTATCCATGGAGCCCTCATCTAATACCTGTTGGAAACAGAAGCAAACATGCATACCTAAACACTGAGTCGAACTAGAACCCAGATGCAGATGGAGAGGACAAGACCAGACTGCAGAAACACATAGAGGAGTTAACGGGCCACCAGACTGATAGCTGGGGAGCCAGCATAGGACTGACTCAGACCCCCTGAATATGGGTCTCAGCCAGAAGGACTGAGCAGTCTAAGGGACCTCAGACAGTGGAGCCAGGAGGTATCCCTGGTGCACAAAAGGACCTTGCGCACACATCCCCCACGGAGGGATAACTGCCTTAATCTAGAGACAGGAGAGAAGCCCTAATCCCTACTTCACATGACCTGTCAGATCTACATGACCCCAACTGGATGGCATTCCCCTACATATGGAATTGGGGTGGGGGATGGGAGGGGAGGGTGGTTAGGGTGCATGTGAGAGGGCAGAGAGGGTAAAAGGGAGGGAAGGAGTGAGGGAGGGAGAAAGAGGGAACTGGGATCAGCATGTAAAACAAACAAACAAACAAATAAATAAATAAGGGACAAAAAATTCTTTCAAGTAAATGGAACCAATCTACCATCAGTCATTTTTTTTTAAATGAAGGTAAATTTCCCAAAATTCTTCATTAATTCAAGGCTTTAGGATCAGTTTTAATCTATATCTTTAGAAGGACATATAAAGTGCCTTCCAATAGGAGACATGAAAAACATACAGCGACATCTGGGGACATGCAAAGGAGCTTAATATACAACCACAGTGGGAATGCCTGTAGTGTCAGTGGCACATGCTGGCAATGCCAGGACCTGGGAGCCCAAGTGGGGAACACTGCCAACTAAAAACCAGACTGGATCACACAGCGAGACCTGTGTGATCCAAATCAAAATCAATTAATTCCTTTAGTAAGTTTAGTACACTACTCATATGTCCAGTTCTAGACTATTAGAGATATTTTTTTTTATCTTGTTTTCATTTTCTGGCCAAGCCATATTTTTGTCTTATTTAAAGGCTACCAAGTACACATTTTCAAATATATAGATATTCATCTGTTAGAATTCATCCGGCAATTAAAGTTCTCTTGTGTTCTGGTGTAGTAGTGACACAGCATTTGATATGTGACTCTGAACGCTCCAGCTCAGAGACCTAATGGTAATTTTCTGCCACCAGAATGGGCCTTCTTGATTATTCTTCTAGATAGCTGATTGCCTGAGGATAGAAAATTTGCATGAAAAAAAAAATAGTTTTCTGTATTGTTTCTAGAAGTAGAGGTGGATAAAGGCAGAGAAAAAGACTCATTGCTCTCCTCTCCTTAAGCAGGGGTCAGAATTATTGATGGACTGCAGGGAGCGGCATGTGACAGCATACACGGAGACAATCTTATCACGTGAGACAGTGCGCAGAAGACCAGGGTGACAGCAGAACCGTTCTCTTGCTGGGCTTCCTATCAGGAACCAGCTGTCCCAGGAAGCAGTATCTCAGACATTACAGTTGTGCACACAATCCATAAAGATGTGAATCACAGGAAATGCAATCCTGCACTGTTTGGTCTGAGTCCGTCACAGTGGCCTGAAAATTACCAAGGATGGTCCTAGATGTGACCCAAAGGGCTTCTGAGATAAAGTCTGCACATACAACTTGCTGTGAGAAAAAAAAAAAAAAAAATAGACACGAACATAGGACCAACTAAAAAATGGCTATTGTCTCAGTTTTCTCCAGTTATTGGAAATTAACAAATTGGCCCTTGTCATAAAATACATGGAAGGAAGATGGGGAACATGGGAGGAAGGAAGGAAAGAAATGGAGGGAGGAGGATGAAATGCAGAGAGAGGGAAGGGAGAGATTACGATTTGTGCAGAATGGCCTCCTAGTTTCATATACTTGCCCACAGACTGTCCTGGTGCTTGGCAGTTACACATTGTTTGGCGAGTTGATCTGATTGGTGCACAAAGGAAATAATACCAGCAAAAGATGCCACCCTGAACACTTGTTTATTTTAACACAACTCTTCTTCACCTGGTATTTAACGTATAGTATTTCGTTACTATAAAATTATTCTTAAGAATTAAAAAAAATTTTTTTTTAAATTAAGACATCCAAACATGGCCCACTCTTTCCCCAGGGAAGCAAAGGGATACGACGATGGCAATGATTCTCTCCTCTCATGCCTTCAGGGTGGTGTGCGGTAAGCCTTGCGCACTAGGCCCAGAGATGGGAGTGAGGCAGACATAATTCCTGCCCTAAGGAAATTACAGTCTCCTGGAGGAAAACAGATAATAACTTAAATTACTGTATAATTACAGTTGTGATAAGCATTATGAAGGGAAATAATGGGCTTCATAAAAACACATAACAGGGGTCCGAGACCAGTGCGGCACATCAAGGATCAAGGGTCAGTTCAAATGAAACTGCATTGAAAACAGAACCTGAAAGCTGAATGAAGACCACCAGGTGTGCAGGTGGAGAAAGGGGCAAAGACTACAGCAGACAGACAACAGACGAGCACTCAAGGAATGCTAGCTCTTGATGTCTTTGAGAATGCTGGTGATATACACGGACAGAGAGAAAGAACTTGCCAGGCATACCTGGCAAGCTCCAGGTGCTCCTGCTGCTGCTGGGCATGGTAAGAAGGCACAAACTTCCCATGGCTTAAAGGGAAACAGCTCAGGCATGGCCTAGCTGAGCACAGCTCTCTGTCTCTGTCTCTCTCTCTCTCTCACACACACACACAAACACAGCATACTTCTTCAAGTCTCCAGCAATAAGGTTTAGGCAGTACCCAAACAACACAGGCCTTGCATAATTACCCCCATAGAGGACACCAGGATAAAATAATTGGAGCTGCACAGGGAGCCCCCTGAGCAGCCATAGGAGGTGCCAACAGTGGGAGAAGAATAAGGACAGTGACAGGGAGAGGACAGCTATGGGACTGGTCTAGGCTGGATACCCTAGGTACTGAAAGCGGCCAGGAAGTTAAGAATCTCCCTATAATAGCACTGAGACATCTGTCTCTAAGCGGGGAGATCCAGCAGCAAGCGAAAGAGTACAGTGGCAGGGAATGAGAGCTATGTTCAAGGTGCATCAGAGGGGCATGCCAAACTGTGTTGTCATCTCTGTACGGGGAGGGGCAAGGAAGATTTGTATTGGATAATTAAAAATCCATATTCTGCAAGACTAGCTTCTTGGGATTTTCTCCTTCTGCCCCCTTAAGAGTATATCTATATGTTTTAATATGTCTCTATATGTTTTAATATAACTCTTCCCACCCTTTGTATAAAGGAATCCAATCTCTTATTGGGGAAGTAAACAGGCTCTTCTCACAGGGTATAGTCACGTACCATAAGGAAAGAGGGAGGCATCTTTCTATGTAAGATGTTCAAATGTGTTTTAACACTTAGGAGATTTTTAAGATCTAGCAATTATTTATAAATTAAAATTCTAAGGAATCATAAA